TTCATAAAATGGTTTCATTACAAGAAAAATTAGGAGTTTTAACCTTGTTTGCTTGAAATATGAATCTTGTTTGGCCACCTCCAGTGAAGTGGCCAAACACGTCTGTGGTGGCTGTACCTAGAGAGGAGGTGTAATGATAGGTGTTCAAACCCGTATGAAGCCGATTAGTTTCATTTGCTTAGTTGAGACTTAAATTAATCTTATTCTGAACACACATGGGGAAGTAGGCAAAAACTGAGTTTGCTGGCTGCTGCAGCTCTCCAGAGCCAGTGGTGCAGGCTGGGGACCAGCCGACAGTGGTGCCTGAAGCACAAGCATGGTGGCTCTCACCATCCTCCACTTCAAGTGTACTGCTTTTTTTTTGTGTGTCACCCACAATGTAAAGTTTGTGCTTTTGGGGCAGAATTAGATCCTTAAGTTGGCTCAAGATGTTTCTGTTCACATGATGGCATACAATTTGCAGATGAATGTCCTTTAGATAAAAATTACAGATTTTGCTGTAGTCACTCTTTGTTTACAGAATTTGCCAGAACTGGCGCAACAAGGAAGCAGCTCTGCAGTGCAGATTAAGCCAGGGGAAGGTTTTAGCTCCTTGCTTTCTTAGCCTGTACTTCAGAAATAATCCATGAAACCTGTTTTTCAGGAGATGACATTACTTCTTTTCTGTTGGAGGGCACTTGTTTGGGAGAGATTGGTTACAGCATAAGTACACGTATGGCCTGTCAGACTTACTTGGTTCCGTCAAAAAGATAACTTTACTTACAACTCTGATACCATCTCAAAATATCTAACCTAACATCAAGATTAGCAGGAAAGTAGGTTCTTGTATATTAGAATACTGTTCTGGAGACCTTGCGTTTGTGAGAAAATACATGCAAAGTCAGTTTTGTGTTTTGCTATCAAACCGGCTGCACCTGTAATGGGACTTGTAGCCTCAAGAGTTGAACAAAGTGGTCAACTAAGCATTTCTTACATGTTAGGGGATAGATCAGTCCTTTTAGAGCTGTACTAAGGATAGCAGCACTTCCCTTCTTATAATTCAGATAAATGACGCAGCATGAAACCGGGTAACAGAAAGGTCACGTTACTGAAACGGTTGCTATGAGAAGTATGCCTGCCAGTATTTGCAGCCAGGCGTCTTGTGGCTAGCAACTCGTTTTCTCAAGATTAGTTTTATTGGGTCCACGGCTGCTTTTGTGCCAGTAACATTACAGCATCTGCTTACTTAGTTGAAATTATTTTCCTTATGACTTACCACAGCTGTTAATTTCAACTTTCTCAGTTCCTGAGTTTTGGAAAACGCTTAAGCAAGTTGTTCAAGAAGGACAGTTGACGGCATGGTTAATCCATACAGGGATTATGATAGCTAGGCTAATGCCCTGACCAGAGAACAAGATACAACCCTGCCTTAATCGTCTTAAGTGTAAGATTATTCTTTCAAATGTGAACAATTATGTTTTTAATAAGCGTAGGAGAAGAATTCACAAAATCATTTTGTTTATCAGGCTATATGAGTCCAATATTTGCAAGTATGTCAAACATCTCATTTTCAAAGATGAGATGCGCCCATGGTAGAGTCATCTACAGGAACTCAGGATCTTGCAGACTTAATCTCATTTAAGATCTCTATATCTTTGCAGTGGAGATTTAATATAATTAAAAGCATACAACAAGTTAATTTATTCCTGGAATTAATAATGAAAACACAATAACAGACACCGGATATATCTTTTCAGTCTAATAAAATTGGTTGTGACCTGAATGATGCCTACGGTGAAATGACAGAACAGAAAGCAACATTTCTCCTGTTATGGCCCTTGGACAAACGTGCAAACTCTCCTTTAGGTCTGCGGAAAGAGACCATACAAATATCTAGTCCATAGAGAGGGTGTTTGTGTCAGAAAATTAGAACTATAAAGCCATAAAGGAAGGAAATATGACTCTTGTTTAAACGCTTGTAATTCCTTTGTTATGGAGCAAGACCTTCTACCGCTTATTTTCAGACTGCAGTGCCTTTCATTCTGGAATCATAGAAACAGTAATCGGTAGCCCTGGTTTTGGAGATGTTTGAGGATCATTTCATCTGGAAAAGCATCTTTTCTCTGCAACAGACAGTGCGAAGAATGGAGCTGTGTAATTAAATAGATAATTACTACCCAGCAGCAGCAAGAAGACCAGGCAGTCTTTCATTTGAATGTCTTTTTGGGGAAAGTACTCTATTTTTACAGTCTGTGAATGACTTTAAATGCAGAGGCTAGAAGAGGCAGCATGTTGTTATATGGTAGCTGTTAAGAACCATTCAAGATAAATTTTCACAGTAATCATCTAGTTGTAGGAAGTAAATAATTGGTGATCTCCTATTGAGGTATCTTGGTACGCATATAAGATAGTTGCACATTTGCTAACAAGCCTTGTTTGGGCTTGGGTACTTCACTTTGGTGCTAAGTAATATAATCTAAACCCACCTGGAATACTGCATTCAGCTCTGGAGTCCCCAACACAAGAAGGACATGGAGCTACTGGAGCAAGTCCAGAGGAGGGCCACAAAGATGATCCAAGGGCTGGAACACCTCTGCTCTGGAGACAGGCTGGGAGAGCTGGGGCTGTTCAGCCTGGAGAAGAGAAGGTTCCGGGGTGATCTTATTGCAGCTTTCCAGTGCTTAAAGAGGGCCTACAGGAAAGCTGGAGAGGGACTTTTTACAAGGACGTGTAGTGATAGGACAAGGGGCAATGGATTTAAACTGAAAGAGGGGAGATTTAGATTGGCTATAAGGAAGAAATTTTTCACTCAGAGGGTGGTGAAGCACTGGAACAGGTTGCCCAGAGAAGTTGTAGGTGCCCCATCCCTGTTCAAGTGTTCAAGGCCAGGTTGGATGAGGCTTTGAGCAGCCTGGTGTAGTGGAGGGTTTCCCTGACCATGGCAGGGGAGTTGGAACTAGATGATCTCTGAGGTCCCTTCCAACCCAAACCATTCTATGATTCTATGATAACCTGGTCTCAAAGGAAGGTTGGGGGGGAGCTTAGGACAGAGCCTAAAACATGTTGGACTTCTGCCTCTAGCACAGTTTCCTTTATGCAGTTCATCATCAGGAACTTTCCTTGGCCGTTTTTTGTGAACCCCTAAGGGCTGCGCAGAGCTAGTCCCTGGTGTCGTGGCTGGGCAGACACAGCCCCTTCCCGACAGCTGGTGTTTGCCCGACTTGCAGGTGAGCCCAACCGGCCATCGGCTCCCTGACGGCGCCCGGAGGCAGGACCTAAATCAGCAGCGCATATATAATTTCCACCGCAAAACTCGAGCGGCCCCTGGGTTTCCTCGTGGGGAGCTGCGCCGTCGTGTGCCAGGGAAGGCTCTGGGGAGAGCGGAGGCGAAAAGGGTGCTGGCGTGTTGGGAAGGTGGCTGGGTTTGGGAGTGCAGTTCCTGTTACTGCTGATTTGCCATGCTGGAGCTGGGCTGAACTGCCAGGCAGGTTTACCGAAAGGGGAAAAAATAGCTCCTCTTTCTAAAATCTTTCCAGAGTGCTGATGGCTTCGGCTGAAAGACCTTTTTTCATCACTTTCTCTGTCCACTGTCTCCTAGCTCAAATGCGGCTTGACTAAATGGGTTTCTAACAAAAGCAGGAAAAAAAACAGGCACGTAAAAATTGGGTTGCATCAGTCAGGAGACCAGCTGCCTCTCAGCCACGTGCCAAGGGGTGTTTCTGGTTTGGCATGGGGGAATGCATGGCTGCGTTTTGCTGTTGTGTGGCTCAGCAGGCTGGGCTGCTGGCCGTTACGTGTTTAACAGATGTAAGCCCAGTCTGACCAGGGAGAGGTTGGTGTCTTAAAAGGCTGCTGCAGGTGGCCCGGAGCATGAGGTTGCCCCGGCCGCTTTGTCAGAGTGCGTCTGCTTGGGCCCAGGTGCTGCGGGTTTGGGCTTCCCTCCCTCATCCCAGCAGTTTTTCCTCCAGCATTGCTGGGGGATGACTCAGCTTCTTCCTTTCCAGGGTCCTACTTTAGTATTCACTTCGCATCACCCAGCACTGAGGTTTCCTTAACACTTCACCCTGCTTTGTTCCTGCCGAGCATGT